TTTGCTCGTAAGGTTGGGTGCTATATCGACTCGAGTCAGATCCAGGGCTGTGTAGGAATTGGTGACAATGTGTACCGGACAGAAGGAAGAACGCGGATAAAGGTGACGCTCGCAGGATCACTGGTGTATTTCTTCGATATCTGGGTGGGTGATCTGACCGGCCAACAAGCTATACTCGGCATGGACTTCATGGTTCCAGCTGGGATCCGCCTGGATCTAGCCCATGGATCGATCAGTTTGCCGGACGAAGTCCGGATCCAGCTTAGCGGAAGGCGACAGCTCTATAGTGACAAAGCGAAGATCGTCAACGTCGGCCAATATCTTCGGATCCAAGCAGGGAAGTCGGTGGAACTACCACTACGCCTGAGGTCGTCGATCCACGACAAGTTGTGGGTCACGCGTGGAGTTCAATGGGTGCCGACAATATCCAGTGGATCAGGGCGAACGAAATATATCTCGATCACCAATATTGGGGACGAGGTGTTGATCCTGCACCAAGGCCAACGGATCGGGATCTGGCTGGCTGGGGACCATGTGCCGCGGATACCGGGCTTTATCTCGATCGGCTCTCGTCGTTACATGGAGTGGCAGAATCTAGCGTAGGAAGCTACGACAGACACCCGACCCGAAGAAATGGAGGTCAAGGACCCGCTGGTGCCCGCGGTGGAGCGGCCCGAGTATGAAACCCTGCGAGCAATACTCCAAAGACCGAAGGCAACGTTGATCCAGCGTCGGAAAGTCGAGGCGAGTCAGGATCAAGATATTCCTGACTGCCCACCCTCGGATGAGTCGCCGTCGGACAAATCGCCGTCGGAGATGCGACCGTTGGATCTAGCGTCTGTCGCGAGTGAGGAGTCGGATCTATCGTCCATCGCAGACGGAGACTCTATATCGCAGGCCGTAACGGTCAAGGAGGCGCCAGAAAATCGCGATCAAGTGACACCAGACATATGGGCGACTAATCCGCTGGTGGAGAAAACCACAGACATGGAGGGACTGCGAGAAGAAGATAGCCGAGATGAAATTGAGGATGTCAGCCTGGATCAACTACATTCGAGGGGCCAAGATCAAGGAACATCGCCGCCGGAATGCGGCGGGTCGGATCTGCCATCAATGATGAGTGTACAGCCTGGGACAGGATATGTGACCGGTGATCCATTGAACGACAAGTGCGCCACATCTATGTCGCAAAAAACGGACATGGATCCATCACATGTTGTTGAAGATCAACCAGGCACATCGGGTCTGGATCTTACCTGGGACTCAGATCAAGATTATGATGAATGCGTGTATTACCATGAAGGAAGCGATCTATACGCCGAAGATGTCGATGGTCAGATGGCGGTGCTGCCAGAAGTACCTGTGACGACGGAAGATGTGAAGATCAAAGATATTCAACTATGCGGATCTGATAATCAGACTCCAGAGGAGATCGAGCGACTTCGCCAAAAGATCTGGAAGTTCCGACATCTCTTATTCCTTGGGACCGTGGAAAGCTCGGTCACGCGTCCAGTTTAACAAGACCACAATATCATGACACTGGTCAACCCCGGCTGGTCTTTCGCGCACCACTCTCCCGATGGAGAGAACTAATACAAGTCAACACACTTCTCACTCGCAGTTCTTCGGTCAGACGTATACGTTGGGACGGACACACCAACACACAAGGTAATCGGAATATGAAATAGGAGACCCCTTTCGGAGAGACAGACCTAACTAGGATATGGAATGGGCGGTTCACTCCGAGCGGTTAGTCACACCCGGTCCCCAACCCAATGTGGCCTTGATACTTACGGAGAAGCTCCTCGTGTGATCGGCTATCGCACGAGCCCTGCCACGATGTTGTCACGGGACCTCCTGGAATGCACGTCAGACAGGTTTGTCCAACGCGAGCAGTCTGCGGGTTAGCGGGAAAATTGAAATCTGTTTGTCTTTTATCTATAGCTAATCAGTTTGACCGTAAAGGTCACTACATTCACTTTTGTACTTGGTTCTTGCATGCGTATCTTGTGTTCATCATGGTCGACTTCGCTTGGGCCTGGCCAAGTTGACGACTCTCACTTCAGATACTGTCGAACCTTCGGTGTCGTAGTAGATATCGTCTTGGGTCTTGTACATGTTGTTGTCTGAGGCGTGCATATGGCACTCTTGCTTATGCCAAGGTAAGCAGCTCCACTCACTTCTCGTGGCGAGGAACACTTTGCGTATTGTGAACATTTTCTCCGATCTCGAACTTGATACCGTCCGGGAATTCCCATCCGGCGTCTTCTGTGAGAACTGGTAACTAAGCCAATGCATAACGTCTTCACACCAAATCCTGTATCCACTGATCACACGAACTGACCCTTCCATTTGGCAAATTATATGTGGTGGAGCGGGATCTACGAAAATCTCGTTGACACAGGTCTCGGTACCACAGGCGCCCGGACACGACTAAAGAAGGGGGGTCCTCCGATAATCCGTGATCTGGTTGTGTAGTTGTCCTCACCTTGTGTACCCGATGGCGGGCGGGTTACGCTCTTCTATGCGACTTGTGAGACGTCCTTCGGCGAATATGAAACGCAGGCGGACTAAGATGTGGAAGCAGACAGAGGTCGGAGGAGAACGGTGACCCAGGGAAAAGGTATGGTCAGATCAAAGAAGCAGTCCACGATCACGATGGAGAAGGCGGTTGAGGATCGTGATCTAGGAAGCGGTCCAAGATCGCGATTGAGAATGCGGTCCGAGATCACGATCCGGGAAGAGGTTCAGGATCGCGATCGAGGGGGTTATTCAAGATCGTGGCTGCAGATCTCTGGATCAGATAGGTGTGATCGTAGGATAGCAGCTGAGGATGGGACTAGTAGACGTATGGATAAACGTAAACAGACTCGAATTTGCTCTAAGCCACACAAGTGCCTACGTCAAGCCTGGAATCGGGGATAGTATTGGCCCCGGAAGTGTGTAGAAGGTAAGGACTCGTGACCTAGTGTAGCGGCT